TAAATATTTAAAAAATTATAAAAACAAACTTAGTAAAACCTTAATGTTTGGATCTAGGATATGTAAATCTAGTTCTATATATAGAGGGCAGCATATGTAAACAGTGTATTGTTGTGTCGCACAGGATAGGATAGAGGGCATGAAAAAAATAACAAGGTATTGTTGTTAAGGCAGATTTATGCTAAACACTAGTTAAGTGGGTTGCCTGAAGATGAAAATATTTTCTTCTACCCAATACACCTCAGACGCCATTGTACATTTTATTTACTTCAAATTTTGATCTGTAGGCTATAAAATGTATGCGAGACTAGGGTGAAAAGAGGGGATGGAAATTAGGGTGGAGCAGTGAGGGGGGGGGAGCTTTGTGGATAAGTGTAAAAGCAATGTAAACATAACGTGGGTACTGTGAAGTGTGGGGATAGTTTAGCGTGTGAGAGTTGTGTGGAGTGTGGGGGTAGTTTGATGTGTGCGAGTTGGATGAAGTGTGTGAGGGGGGGGGGGTAGTGCAGAGGCGTACCGAGGGGGTGGGTATATATGTCCCCGGGCACCGACCCTAGGGGCGCCAAAATGCTCATTTTAGCTGACATTTTGAACTATAATCAAAAAATATATGGGGGGGGGGGGCGCGATATTGAAAGTTTGTCCCAGGGCGCCAGGAGGGATCTCTACGCCTCTGGGTTAGTGTGGAGTATGGGGCTTTGTTGGTGTTGTTGGTGTAGCTACAGTGGGGATTGGTGTAGTGTGAAGGTAGTGTGGCTATAGTATAAAGACAAATAAGTAGTCAATGTGCTGGCGCTCACTATGGTGTTGCTATGGGTCATCTTAAGCCCAGTTCACTCAGCCCACTACTGACTGTCACCGTCACACTATGGTGTCGCTATGGACCGTCTTAAGCCCAGTCCACTCAGACCACTACAGTCACCGTCACACTATGGTGTCGCTATGGACCGTCTTAAGCCCAGTCCCAGTCACCGTCACACTATGGTGTCGCTATGGACCGTCTTAAGCCCAGTTCACTCAGACCACTACTGACTATCCCAGTCACCGTCACACTATGGTGTTGCTATGGGCAGGGGCGGAACTACCATACCGCCAGACCCCGCAATGCGGGGGGGGGGGGGGGGGGCAGGACGTTTAGGTGCCCAGTTCCGACCAAAAAACAATGAATTTTTTTTCAAAAATTATGTTTTTCATACATCTTGAAAGTGGTTTTGTAAAAAAAAACAAAACAACAACAGGTCTACTATAGCAGAGATTGTTGCGTAGAAAAATAATTTAAAATCTACAAGAGCTATAGTTTGAAAGGTAGGTAAACATTCACACTACTTCCATGACTTACTGCCCTTCTTTAAAATAGGGATGCCCACGAAGCTCATTTAAATAGTTTTGTACTATATATATTAAAAAGCAATTAATTCTCTGAATTGTTACTTAAATAAGACGTACTATATAGTAGTATAGCTATAAATATCAATGTTTTCAAAATTGATATTATAAAAGCCAAAAATGAAAAAAATAAACATAATGCGAGAAACCATTGACGAATCAAGCTAACGTCTTTATATATTTTTGACCAGCATTTTTATGATGGCCTAGTATGAGATGATTGGTTTGGACTAAATTTTTTCTGGTTTGTTCTCTCAGAATGGTTATATATTGCAATGAAATAGACCAGGGGTCAGCAACCTGCGGCTCTTTTGGTGTCATGATGCGGCTCTTCAGCTCCATGCACAAATATTAATAATTATTTTAATTTATTTTTAAAACTCATAAAAATATTAGTCTGCAATACTCGGCAATTAAAGATTTAGATCTAATAACAATGTAAAGTTTCTAATTTTGAGCAGAGCTTGCTAAACTACTTTAATATGTTTTGTGCGAAACATGTGTATGATTTTATATGAATAAATATTATTTCATATTTAAGCTATTTATTTTAAATGTGTGTATGTATATATATATATATATATATATATATATATATATATATATATATATATATATATATATATATAATATCATAATATTGAAATGGAAATGTTTGTGGCTCTTTAAAAACGGTAAAATGTGGTAAATTATAACTTTTGGCTCTTCCGTCCCAAAAGGTTGCAGACCCCTGAAATAGACTAAATTACACAGTTAGGATATAGATTATATATATATATATATATATATATATATATATATATATATATATACATATATATATATATATATATATATATATATATATATGGGGCCCTAATTTTTTTATTGCGGGGGAGCCTTTTTTTTCTAGTTCCGCCACTGGCTATGGGTCGCCTTAAGCCCAGTCAACTCAGCCCACTACTGACTGGGACCATAACAACCTTTATAGGCTGTTCTAATAAAATAGGTAAACAGATTATCCACAAAAACAGTACTGACGTATGTTACCAGAATTTACATAGAACAGGGGTCGGCAACCTGCGGCTCGCGAGCCGCATGCGGCTCTTTTGATATCAAGATGCGGCTCTCCAGCTCCTTGAACAAATACTAATAATCTTAATAAAAACATAAAATATTTGAAATAAAAAAATGTTAGTGGCTCTTTAAAATCAGGGAAATTTTGAAAATTGTAACTTTTGGCTCTTCCGCTTCAAAATGTTGCCGACCCCTGAGATAGAACATAAACAGTTTTGTAATATTTCATCTTTTTGTTATAACAGATTTTTAAAAATTATTTTAAAGGCCTCTATTTTTTAAGAATAACTTTTTGGTTACATTTTAGTAAAAATTAAAATACATACTACGCTAATAATTAAGTTTTGAAAACAATTAGTATCTTATTTATTAACAAAGTATACAACTCACACTTTAGTTAATCATGTAGTCACTACCAATGACTCTCAAACCACATATCCCCGACACGGCACTTTACTTCAACCGAGGCCATAAAATGCCATGTACGTGTTCCAAGATTCAAAACAATGACGCTAAGCATTTATTTTAGCTTTGTTCAGCTTTCTAAAAAAAAATAATAATTAAAAAATACTTGTCTGAAAATAAGAATCGCACATGCTTGTTCTCATGTCACTTGCAGCTATCTAAAGTAAAGATTGTCACACGAACTGCGGGCCATAGTTGGGCAGTATTTTAATTCAGTAGGAAATTAAGTGTAAAAAGCTAAAATAACATTGTGAAATGCCTCCTTACTCCCCCAATAAAAAAAACGATAGTTCTAAAAACTACGAAAATTTAATAGCTGCATTTAAAAACTATAACTAAATAATGGATTGTATCTCTTTAATATATAATTTTTTTTAAGTTCATTTTTCCTGACAGTCCATGGGGTAAGTGAAGTAGAGTTCATCTGTTTCTGTGACCTCGGCATATGAACGTTTGGTCAGCACCATGCCCAGCCGTCTTTACTTTCCTAACGTGAGTTAAGGACCCATCATCACTGGGTGGATTCAGGGACGTTTTACTGATTTGGACCCAGATTCAAACTCGAAACTCACAGGTTAGCTGTGTAGCGCTCTACCGCTAAGCCACACAGTCCCGTTTTTATATATTTAAAGTGGTTAAAACTTATATAAGTTTTTAAAAATTAATCTTTATTCCTCAAATAAATAATAATTTGCTGCATGAAATTAAAAACAAAATTGTAATTCATAGGGTAATAATCATGCAATAAAGGTGATAAATACTTAATTTTTTTTTATACAAACACCTTTCAACACAGTTAAAATTTTAAGACCTGTATTACACGTGAAAACATAATGTGAGAAGAGCTACCTTGATAGATATTATCACTTTGGCTATTACTGGCCACACCCAAACACATGGAAATGAGGTAGGGGACCACCTTGCTAAAATTTGGGAAAAGCCGGAAATTTCACTACACCCAAAGTCATATCAAGCACTATAAAAAAAAATTAATTTGCGGTCAAACGCACATCTTAATTATAGAAAAGACGCAGTTGATTTTTTTTTGGGTTAATTGAAACTCGCTTATGTGGTATGGCCCAAGAAAAAACACTGAACATGTTTAGACTCTGCCCCCCCCCCCCCCCCCCCCCCAAAAAAAAAACCCCGCTCAGAGAAAAATTTCAAATTCCTGAAAAGAGGCCATTTTAAGAAAGAGGAAGGACAGGACAAGCAAGAATATCTACCTGGGTTGCTCCAGTTATATCTGACATTACAGATGAGATACATGACGGTTCACTGACATAAAAACTGACAATATTTTTGTTCAGATTTTTAGTTTTATTTCATTATTTTCATAGGCTTTGCATATTTATTTAACAAAATCCATCCTTAAAAAAAGGAAAAATATATTATCTTCAGCAATAAAGAGAAACAATTCATGTAAAATCAACAACTCAATAAAATCACTGTTTCAACATATTTACATAAACAGCTGTAGAGTGTAAAAATCTAAGTAAAAGTAAGTGGCAATGAATGTAATCAGTGAACACAAATTCTATCATCAATATTTAAGAAGCAGATTTGTGAGTGTAGTCAACAAAATATTTAACAAATAAAAATATTAAAATTAACATTTGACATAAATTCAAAGATAGATTTTAAAAGCAATTTAAAACTCTTTAACTCATGTATCAACATGCCAGTATTAAAAAAAAAAAAGTTATATAATAAGATGGTTATAGCTAATTAATACGCTAGTCTACCCAGGCATAAAACTATTAAAACAATAGACTCCTGCAGCAAATGTACAATAGTTTACCAAAAATTTTATAAGCTATCTTCACTTATTTTGAGATAGAATGTTAAACTATTTTAATTATGTAAAACCTCTGGGGTCATCCAGTTATGACATTCACACAAAAATGAGATTATACTCCAAAGATACCCAACTCTATTGCAGCAACCCTATAATAATACAACTTCAATTGCTGTCATACTCATTTAACATTAGTTATGTGGATACATAGTATACTCCACGTCTGGGTTACAACCCATGTTTATTTACTGTATGGGTTATTAACTTGCTAGCAATAATTACCTGAGCTCAATTTTGTGTACCATTTTACCAACATTTTACTCTATACTCATGTATACTGGTGGATCCCACTTATGATGTACTTAAATCAATCACAAGTTTGTTTGTTAAAATTTTGTATGCAGAATAAATTACGTTTTGTTTTAATAGCTAATAAACAAATGGATATAAATTTAACACTTGGCCGAAGCCATTCAAGTTAGTTTCCCCCTTTACAGCACTATCTGAATAGATGCCCTAAATAGATGATCCCTTGCACAGTAACAATCTGAATTCATTACACAGTTCCTCTGTGTTAAAAAATGATATGAGACACAATGGTTTAAAACTGTCTACAATAAAGCAAGATAAAATACAGATAATTACAAATAAAGAAATAGTGTAAGCTTGAAAGTATAAAAAGAATTTTTTTTTAAATTAAAAAAACTCATGTAAATAAAGTATTCTTCAGTAAAAGAAAAAAAAAAGAAAATAAATGCAAAATTAAAGTACATATGCTGTGCATTATACAAATTATAGCTTCACAGCAATCTAAATATACAATCTCAGTTCTGTGAGTGAAATAAAACTACCAATGCTGGTGACTGTAGGGGAAGTAATCCTATCATTTATGTTTACCATTCTCATGAGTTTCTAACTCATCAAATGTTATGACAACAACATTGCTGTGTGCTGGCACCATGTTGGTGTCCATCACATGAAACACACTGTCATCCACACAGCCTACATCTACATCTATATCACCTGTAGCGCCAGACCCAAGGTTGGATTCTATCTCCACATGTACAACACAGTAAGGATCGGAGTCTGTCTTGGGATTAAGGTTGTTCACTGAACTAGGTGTGGGGTGTCTCTTGGTCACAGTTTCTGACCAGATGAACATGGGGGTGTTGTCAGACTGGTTGTCTACCTGTGTGTCCATATTGTCGATGTCGTCGTCTGTGTCCTTCAGTACAAACGTGACCAGAGGTTCAGGCGGGTTGGCCTGTTGTGGCACACCAGACAATGAATTAGATTCTTGTAACAATGGGTTACCTGTGACCTGTAAAGTCCTGTCTTCATGAGCTGGCATTTCAACATCAGATACACATGTTGTATCAGAACTTAAATGGTCATTTCCTTGTGGACTTGTATTACAAGCAATCCTCTGTACAAAGTTACCACTGAAGTGTGTAGCACCTGACCCTATACCACCAATCTCCTGTATAGCAGAGCTTTCTCTGTGGTCAAGGACATTGTTTAAATGTACACCATGCAGCTTGGTCTGTATGTTTCCTGAGTGTTGTAATTTGACTGGAGGTTCTGTGGCCCGAGAAGCTGGAGAAACTTCAGACAACTTCCTCTTTTTGCTCTCTGAAAGTTCATCAGGTGAGCCTGCTATAGCTTTACGGTTGGGTCCTGATAAAGGCAAGCCACCGCCACTGACAGACTGTGCAGGTGGGGGGAGGGGCATGTGTGGAGGAGAGGGTTCTCTGTAGGTGCCCTTAAGCCAGATGTGACGATGACCATCTATGACGTGGCGGAAGTGACGCAGCACTCTACTGCCGACGGAATCATAATTACTACCAATTACCTGTGGGAAACATGTATGATAATAAATTAGTGGTTCTTAAACTAATCATAATTTTTAAGATAACCCACAGATTAAATATTGTAAGTTACTGATTTGAACTCGATCAAAGAAATTAATTTCATCTCCCACTGGAGTTTATTTCCCCGCTCTATTTTGTACAACACTATACCTGAATACTTCACTGACTTAACTAGTTAGGTGCAGACTCAAAAAAGCTGCACAATATTAAAAGAAAAAACTGCAGTTTTGCAAGTTTTTTATAAGCAAAATATAAAATCAACTGTACTGAAAAAATACAAGAAGTAAACAAAGAAAAAAGGCAGTTTTAGCAATATCAATGCCCACACATGTGACTACAAACATTAATCCAGCAAAACCTGGAGTAAATTGAGAATATGTTCTAAAATTCTGAGAGCATTGTTAATAACCTACAAGCTGGTGGGAGCATCATTCTAGCTTTAAAGAGCTGAAAAGCATAACTCTAGTTTGTTCCCTAGAATTATAGTATAAAGTATAAAGGAGTAAAGGGATGTCACTCTTTCTTATCTCACCTCTATATCCATTTCCTGATCCCCTATCAGCAAGCGACCTTTGTAAAGATATGTATGGTTGCCACCATGTATACCACAGCTATACACTGGCCCCAGCAGGTCAAGGTTCAAAGACTTGAGAGTCTCCTCTTGTACAGTACACACATCACTGCCAGAGTCCACCATGAAATCTGCACCAGGGGAGGTAATAAAAATAAAATTATTTGATAGCATTCAGGTGTTTTTTTTGGAATGAGTCTCTGGTTAAGTGTCTTAAAGTAATGCCAAAAAAACTTTTCTTTTTAAAAACTGCGTTAATCTATGTAAATAAAATAAAGGCATAACCATACAACGTTGCCTTAAAATGATGATCATTTAAGCTTAAATAGCATGTTGAATCCCACTTATTATATCTTTTTTGTGAGGGAGTAAGTTTATTCCCACTTATTTAACCCACCTTTTCAGAGCAGCCTAATGTTTTAAATTAAATCCCACTTACCTATAGAAGTTTTGTAAGTTACATTGAATCCCACTTACCTATAGCAGCTTTGTGTTTCAACTGAAACCCACATACCCCTAGCACCTTTATGTGGTAAGTTAAAACACATATAGCACCTTCATGATGTGGTAAGCTAAAACCCACTTACCTTTAGTACCTTCATGATGTGGTAAGTTAAACCACTTACATCTAGCACCTTTATGATGTGGTAAGTTAAATCCCCCTTACCAATAGCAGCTTTATTGTGTGGCTCTCTCTGTGAAAACAAAAATGCCTTCACACAGAGGAAATCAAACTTGGCCTGAGGTAGACACAAGGGCTTTCCCCATCTGCCACAGATGACAGGCGTCTCAACACCCAGAGATTTGTACTGCAGCTCTAGCCGCAACTTTTCAACTAAAATAAAGGGTCAGGATAATAAATTACTTGGATAAAATACAACTATAACAATATTGTTTTCAAAAGCTAAAGTGGGTCAATACAATATTGATATTTTATAAACTTAATGTTGCATACATTTAATACAAGTTAACCATTAATGTCCCATTCATTCTACCAAAACTCCACCCATGACGGCCCAATGTAAGGAGCATAACTCTGTATGATCAAGTGAATAGTTTCACAAAATATTTGTTTTTGTCTAAATGAAATTTAAAATTAAGATAAAAACTACTGCTTAATGTTGGGAATAAACCTGGCTTTCCAACAGTATTAAATAGAATATATTATATTCGGTACAAGTGCAGAATAAAAATAAAAAATGTCGGAGAAAATTCAAAACTGGTCATTTTCGGTAGTCAACTTTATTTATTTTTGTCTAAACAACTATGCATCGAATTTAACAGTTAAATATCAATTTGGTTATGATTAAGATATATAATTCATAAAATACATGCCTAGATACGTTTAGAGGCATTATTTTATTTTATTTTTAATATTAAATCTACTAAAAATAGGACAGATGAGTCTAAAATTTCGAGATAGAAAGAAACTTTTATTTTTTATCTTTCAAAAGCGCCATTGAAATTAGAAGACCGGAAAAGGATGCTGAAAGTATCCGACTTCCTGTTTGGTTAAAAATTAGGATTTGTAGGCCAAATTTTAATGAAACAAATTTAATTTTTCTATGCGTATTGTAAGCGGGCGGCAGCGGGCGTTACGGGACATTAACGGTGTCGGGCGGCAGCGGGCGTTACGGGACATTAATGGTTAATCAATAACCAAATATGTAGCTAGAAAAAAACAAAAGAAACATGAGTTTTAAAAAAGCTATTAATAAAGTGACAGACGTGTTTTCAAGTTAAGATAACATTTGGTTTATGTAGGTTTGGAAAAACTTGAATTGAAAATAATATGGTGAGTAGAATGTATGCACTGCCAGTTAATACTTATAACATACCTGCTCTTTCTAATCGCTTCCTGTGTCCAGGTAAAGCAACTTCTAGCATGTCATAAATATTCTCATCAGGCAGAGAGAGCTGCGAGACTTTTTTCAGGTCAGTCAGTTCACTACGAACAAACTCAATGTAGTACCCTTTAAGGTGGTTTCTTTTAAGCCAATCATAAACTTCTTTTTTAGGGCTTGGTCGATACAGTTTGGCTACAGGATATAAAATGAATTAAAATCATTTAATAAATTTTACATCAGCCATCTATAATTAAATGTTAATAAATAAACTGAATGGTTAAAAAAAAAATCACATATTAGAGTTTTTTTAAAATAAAGTTTGACAAAACTAACCTTGAGCTAAAATAGCTAATCTGTCATTCACATTAGATATCATCAGATGTTCTTCTAAGTCATAAGCTGTGAGGAATGGAATGTCTGATTCCAAATCGTACCCTTTGATGTGAAACATTTCCGAGTATTTGATCATTCCAGCTTTTTGAAGAAATACATCTACTCCTCCTTTCATTTTAAAATTGCTTGACATGACAATAGCACTCAGGAATCTAACAATTATTTTGCCTCAACTATATAGTAGAGTGTTACAAAGTTAATGTAGAGTACTGTTGGTTGTGAGAGTATTTAGTATAGAAAAATATTTGCATAGATATATAAATAAAGAATAGAGTAGTGATAGTGACCTGATATGAAAGACAGTGATGTTTCTGAGTTGGATTGTTGCTGCTGTGAGTTACAAGATGGTCAATCTCATTTAGGTTGTTGAGCTGCGATGTAGTCTTTGTTTTGTTGTGACAAAGTGAAGGTGTATGTACTCTTATTCTCTTGCTGGGGTGTTGGAGTCAGTCTAGGTTGTTGATAAGAAAAGAGTGCTTTCTAGATTGTCATTCAAGTATGTTTTGTGTGTGCCTGTCTTCGAGTATAGAATCAAATCAGAATAAAATAAGAATGAACGTTTCATGTCAAATCTTTTTCATAAGTATTATTTCACTCATAGAATCAGAGCTAGATGGGGACACAGAAGAAAATAATATTGTGGTCACTGTATTTTATACTTCTCACTGCAGACAAGAGATTTAGGGTATGGAGTGGGGTGTGTTTTGGTATTATGATATTATATGGGGCGAGGTATATTGTGTGGTATGTTGGGGTTGGTATCTGCAGTATCTGGTTTGTTACTGTGTGTGGATGGTGGTGTCATACTGGTTGTGGTGAAGTTTGTTATTTAATAATAATAATAGGGCCCATTTTTGTTTTACAATTTCACACAGTAGTCAACTTTTAATTGAATAATTGTAGTAGAAGTATATAAGTATAGTAAATAAATTAATAGTATATAGGGCCTATAGTTATTAAAATTAACAGATTAACTAGAGTTTACTAGAGTAAGGTAGAACTATTCTACATGTAGACTGTAGACTTATTGAATATTTTATAGAGGCCAATAGATCAATAGATTGTATAGACATAGAATCTATAGAAATAGGCCTAAGCCCTAACTCTATTAATTAATTATTAGGCCTAATAATTAGGCCTAGTTAAATCTAACCCCAATTTCGCAAAGTGGCTTAACTGGCTTAACTTTTCTAGATCTAGTTCTTTAGTAATAGTAATAGTACTCAGAGGCGTAGCGAGGGGGGGGGGGGGGTATGCGGACCGCACCAGGTGACACCATTTAGGGGGGGTGACACCAAGGAAAAAAATAGCAAAATATATAGAGAAAAACTTGAGGGGGGTGCAAATCGAAAGTTTGAGGGGGGGGGGGGGTGCAAATTGAAAATTTGTCCCCAGGAAGGGTCACTATGCCTCTGGGGGGTGACACCATTAAGTGCCACACCCTGTGACACCCGACCTTGCTACGCCACTGATATAACTAGTCTAGATTTAGACATATCTTGCAGAATCTAGCAGCTAGGGCCATCTAAAAAAGTCTCAAGTCTAAGGCCTTAGCCTCTAAGTCTAATTATAAATTAATTAGTTAATAATTAGGCCTAGCCTATTAATTTAATAATTAAAAAATTAGATCTATCCCTATCTAATAAATAATACCTCTATTCAACAAGCTAAGCACTCTAGACTAGACTAGACCTAGGCTAGAGTCTAGCTACTAGCTAGCTGCTACAGTGCTAGAATAGGCTAGAGTCACGTAGAGTGTCGTAGGTCGTAGAGTGTAAGAGTACTATCCAATAATTATTAATATTAGGCTAAATAATTTTATTATTATTACTATTTACTATAGTCCTAGTCTAGATGTAAGAATAGGCGGTAATCTATCATTTTGGGTACGTAAAATCGCCCGCGGCTATTAAGGTATAAAAACGTTACCTCATTGTCAAGGCTTTAATAGAAGTATGTTGTCATATGTTTGTGTCAAATATTATACATAAATGAATAATAAACCTAAATCAATGGCTAAATATATCGATATAGGACAGAAATTAACTTTAAACAGCAGTGTCTGAGAGCAAGATTTGCTATATAAACAGCAGCCATTTGTAAAATAGAGTGGCTTCCCCCTGAATCTCACGCTATAAGCTTATAAAAATAAAACTTAAACAAGATGGCTGCTGTAGTAAATGACCATGGTTTCATCTGTTGGAAACATCGCTAGTCTTCATTTATTACGGAAAAGTTTTAATTCAATTGTTTAAAAACATGTAGGCCTACATAACTACATATTACTACATAAATATGAAACAAGGAAACATGTTTGTATTTTAAAACACATAAATCCTCCTTAAAATGTGAAATAATTATTAAAATATAAGGAGTCACCTGTTTTTCACATTACAAGTCGCGGGCGTTTTTACGTAGGCCTAGGGCCTAGATTACCTAAAATAATCTAAACTAAAACGATAAATATTACTTTAAAATTACCGAATGGCGAATAGGCATATCTACGAGTACTAGACTAAACAGTAACAGTATGATACTTTAAACTTTAATTAGATCAACTGTGAGTGCTAAGTACTGCAAGTATTAGCAATGTATAGACTGATCTAGATCTAGATCTAGATAAAATAAAATTGGCTAATACTTATAAAATAATAGTTTTAGTTTTAGTCTTTTTTTTTACAGATAGAGAGAGCAAAGGGAGGATACTACCACAGCGCCGGTATTTAGGTAACGCTAATTACCACAAAACTGTAAGCCAGGCCTTGTGATTGCTTTCTATAATATTTTGATTTTATAGGCCTATAGAATAGATAAATACGTTAAACATCGTGCCATGAAAAGATCTCTGTTTAAGACGTCATGTTTATTTTTTCGATAGATGTCTTACACATACCCGTATAGTTACAAATAACCCAGCTTGATGCCTTAAAATGACTATACACCGTTCTAATAAAATTTTCGGGGGGGGGGGGGGGGGGGCGACGACGACGCTGATTAAAGTATAAGAGGACAGCGTAGCTTAGCAAAACATCGATTGATTACTAACCCATAAGTCTCGAGTTCGAATCCGGGTTCAAGTCCACGGAGTACTGATTGGTACATATAGTACATAATTTACGTTAGGGAAAATAAAAGCGGCTGGGAATAATGCTAACCATGCTATCCCTTAGGAAAACTAAAGGCGTCTGGATCCCTTCATTTGTCTAGCTAGATCACAGTAACAGGTGAACTACTTCACTTGGCTCATAGACCGTCAGGTTTGAAAAGGGAACATTATTTACTTTTATATGTAGACAGACAGAAGGACAGATAGATAGAGGGAGGCGCTAATTATATTTACACAAATACAGGCGTAACCTTCGTGCGCGTTGCCTCCATCTAGTCTGTTGTTGTTATTTTTTAATTGCAGAAACCTTCTCAGTATTTTCAACAACATTCATGACAAATGACAATCGGATGGAGGATGACGTAATGCATAAACGACCCACATTCACATATACAGGGCACAAAAAACAATTTTTGCGTGGGAGCCTTTTTTTCACTTAATTGGATAGTCTATTTTATACTATCATTGAGATTTTAATATCAGTGTTGGTCTAGTGACGTAAGTTAATTATTTATTATAATTTGAATATGTGATTTTTAAAATATGATCATAATACACACGCACAAAATTACCTGTAAAAATATTTAAAATTTTTGTTTTTCCCTCCCTGGTGAAAATGCTATTCCTGTTATCTTTTGGCAATTAGCTTGTGTTTCCTTGGGTGGGCTCCCTTGACATCAACGGTCCACAATGTCTAGTACTTCGACAAATAAGAAAAAAGATTTTACTAACATTAAAAAGCAGTCATCTGCTGAACGTAAAAGATTTTCGGGCAATAAACCTTTACCTCAGCCGACACATGTTGGGGATTTTATGATGATGCTGTTAATGAAAGTTTGTCGCACTTGTTTACTGGTTGATACCTCTGTAAAAATTGGTGTTTACCTCATTGGAGTTATGTTTGGCTCTATTATTTGTGACCTTTTTGTGGTCCCCAAGACCTATTTGGCTGACAGGAAGAACCCTCTGAATTTGTACTTTATCAAGATGGGATGGGCTTGGACTTTCACTTTTGTTGGGGCCTACATTGGATTAACCAGCTTTGTTTATTGCTGCAGAGATTTTTCTAGGATATGCCAACACTTCCTGAGACTAGCAGTTGGTACCTTTTGGTGGTATTTCTGCACTAAAGTATTCATACACGTAGAAAGCATCATGGGTGTGTGTACTCAATTAGTGCATGATAACAAAGCTACTTGCCTTGAGGCTGGTAAAAACTGGCTTGGATTTGATATCTCAGGTCATATCTTTATAGAAATTCATTGCCTTCTTATTATATCTGAAGAAGTAAAAACTTATAAAGATTGGAAAAAGCTAGGGACAATTTTGGAGGATGAAGATTTGCCAAACAAGAGAAATTTAACAGAGGAGGAAATCCTTCAGGCGCAGATAAACTACAAAACATTAACTCCATTTATTAAAATGCTTCTTATTTTTATAACTGTCATTCAGATCTTGTTTGAGTTCATGCTGTTGACCTCAACAGTTTACAGATTTCACACCCTGGGACAGAAAGTAACAGCTTCATTTGTTGCTGTAATTTGTTGGTTTTTGAGTTACAGAGTCTTATATAGATCAGGAAATCCATTTCCTTTTATGCCTGTAATGCCAGGAACTAGTCCTTTGAATTTTATGAAAATAGTGTAAAAATTCATTACATTTTCTTTACTTTATGCCATAAAATTCCCAGTCTTAATTATAAATTGCCAATTAACACGGATTATTCTTTTAGAATTTTTTAAATTTAAGTTAAAAAATCAAAGTAAAAGAATACCAAACAAAACTGACAGGTATTGCAAATGTAAAAAAAACTGATCACATTTGTATACTCCATTTAGTTTAACATTGGATACTTTGAAAACAAAAAACTATATTCCAAAGAAAATGCACTCCCTTAAAAGGAGCAAAAATACTTTTAAACTTGTGTTTGATGTATGTGCTACATTAGTATCCCAGTCATAAAGAATTTGCTGGTAGTTTTCCAAATGTTTCCCAACTAACATTTTTGCAAACCATTTCTTTTCCCCCTTTGCTTACATTTTTTTTGTTCAAATGTATGTTAATGAAGGAAATTGCTTTACAAATTTTGAGATCATTATGATTCATGATTATTTTTTACCAACATGTGTTGGCTCTTGTGTGAGATTTTGAAAGAGAATATTTTGCATTCTGCTGATGTAACTCCCAATGCTTTTCCAATGCTAGATTATGAGTAAATTTTTGATAGTTTAGTTATTCATTAAAATGTGAATGAGATGAGACAAAGTGTCACTATCAGCTGATGATATTTAAAAAACAAAACAAATGAAATACATTTTATTTAAAACATTTGAAGCCATCAAACTAAATAATATTTTTATAAGATGTATTTTAACATATTTAACTGTGTCACTAAATAAAATAAATAAGGAATTTTGGAACATTAAATTGCATTTAGTTTTAGCATGTTAACATTTTATCCTACATTTTAAAATAGAAGGTTTATAATGTATGTTATTGAACAACAGTTTTTACTAAGTTTAGTGCAGTTAAGAACAAGTTGTATGTTTCTTTATTTTTCATATATCTCAATATATATTTGAGTTGGTCCAGGCTGCTGTTTTAAAGGTTTTCATACTTGTCTTAAAAAAATGTCTGTTTAGAATTTATCAATTTTGAGAGCTTTTCCAAGCATTTTGATTAGTAAAAATGGATTCTGGTAAGAAAACGCTGAATTCAAATAATGAATTTAATTACAAAACAATGTATGTCAACATCTAATCCATTACTTCTTTGTTAAGATTTGTGGTTAAAGAAAGAATTTTTAAACCTCATCTATTTAAAAATAGCAACTTTTTCAGTAACATTGTGTTTCTTCTCAATAATGTTGTGGTGAGTGCTAACTAACTGGTAAAAAGTTATTTGATATACCTTTTATATATATATATATATATATATATATATATATATATATATATATATATATATATATATATATATATAAACAGAGTGAGATTTTTAATATTTCAATTTCTCATCTTGACCCCTCATAGATATGTGTTCCACAGAGTTTATAATTTTTTTTCTTTTGGTGAAGGTATTTAAATAGACAACAATCTGATCTCACCTATGTGTGTACTTTACATAGATCACACCCATCTTTCCTTTGTCAGCCATATCCAAAGTATCCACATTCTTTGAGCCATTCAATGTATTAGTACTATCTTGTTTTATTTTCTAGTCAATTCATTGTCATATTATGATTACAGTTAAAGGAAACTAAATTAATTTTTTGTTGCCAAAATAGACATAAATGAAGCTTATATTTGCTTTTCTATCTTAAACCTTTGTCTATGTTTTTTTTTGCTCATTTATTATATGTAACATTACATCAGACGGTGTTCTTTCCTCAAGTATACTGTTAATTTATTTAGTCAGAATGCTACTTAATGGTTTTTAAACACATTATTAAGATTGATAAATAATAGTTGAAGCAATTTTTAATGGAATATTGTATATTAATTTGAAGCACCTTACTCTTATCAATGATGTGCTGTTTTACTGTAGTGTAGCATTAGAAATGTAGCATGTGGGCTGTTTTTTAAATACACATTAATTGTTAATATAACCAAACACATCAAGCATTGTTGCAAAAACAAATTTTACATTTTAAAAATATTTTTTAAGAATTATGTTTAATATTCTTATGAATATAATTTTATTTTGATTATATATCTTGTAAACACATTATTTTAAAAAGCATATAAATTTGATGGAAAACTGTCATCTCATTAGATAAAACGGGTAGAGAATACAAGATGCAGATTAAGGTTTTCATGTTTTGGTTTTTTAACTCATAGGATATATTAAATAATGTAAAGATGTCTGACATCATCAAATATTTCCACTTTTTTTATGGAAATGCTGACTTTGTGTTTGTAGATAGGTGCCATGTGAATGATAAATACAACACCTTTTATACCCAGCAGAACTAGGTGTTTGTCATTTATTATGTTTGCTTCACTGTATCTTCACATAGTCGCTGTCAAAGATTGTTGTTTTGTTTTGGTTTGGTTGTCTTCAATGTGGAAAATGTAAATTCACATAATTTTTTTTCTTTTTTAAGTTTGATCCAAATGGTTTTTGTACCAATAAAATTTAATATCACAGGTGAAGTAGAGTTCTTTTAACATGGTCCACTGCACATATGTTGGTTTGTCCAGGTGCTGACCTTAAAACAGCCGATCAAACCCTATCATGCATGGTACCTTTTTTATGGTCTAAAATAGCAGATGGAATCCATCATTTTCTTCTACCTTGGCATTAAAATGGACTGTGCGGACAGCATTATGCCCACTTCTATTTACTCTTCCACACTTGAAACCACCCATTAGGTTGGCTGAGATTTTTGGCTTGGTTATTGTGCGCAACCATGCTCTATTTGATAGCTCTGTCAAAAATCTTGAAATAATTCAGTAAAATTCTAACAATGTCTATGATTAAATTTGCAGCATACACATCTAGTCTTTTAAAAACAAAAATAATTAAAATTAAAAGCTGAGGCCTTTTGATTACATTACACAAATTTAAAATTTTGACTTAACTTAAATAGCTAACCTGTACAGAGTTCAACAAAACAAACCAGAAAACTAGTAAATTGTATATATTTGATAAATACACTTTATTTAAAGTACAAATGGACATCTATATATTTACATTTGTTTTCAACAGTACATCTTCATTGACAAGTAATTTATACAAGAGAAAATTTTAAACACAAATTTTATAAATAGAAGTAGATTTTCCAAATTTTGTTTTTCAAAATTAATTTGATATATTTGCTTACATTATCACACTTTAGCTTAAAAAACGTGTATTGAGCTAAATTCTTTAATATTGTTTTGTTATAAAAATAGTAATGTGAAGAAACATTAAAGGGAGACAACAATTACAATTTAATGTTTTAATCAGTATCATCTTCCACCAGAGCTATCTGCAATAAACACTATAACTACGACTAATGTCAATGTATTTAAATTGTCATAACTTCAGCTACCATATTTATTATAATTTATATGCTGTTACTTCAACATACAAATGTATGACAAAATAATATTACCAAAGAGCAAGAGCTATTGGTCAGAATATTAATTACTTCCCCTAGATCAATAACTGTGTGTCAGCTTTTTTTCCTAGTGTCTGTGTGTAAATCTTATCTTCTGAAATCTCTTTGTGTTAGCTTATCTTCTAACGTCTATGTGTAAGCCTATCTTTCAGAACGTTAATAAAAACAAGGCCACAACTCTTTGAAAAAACAAATGCATTTTTATTTAGTTGTGTAGAATATTATTTATAATAGATGAAAATAATTACTTTGTACAAAAAAAAGTATCAAAATATAGTATAATTTCAATGTATTAACTAACAAAAGGGTATAATATTATCAGTTGAGATACGTGGTTCATTGAGATTGTACATTAACCACAGCAAAAATAATAAAAATGGGAAAAAATACACAATTCCTTGCAATGACACACTGTCCCCTTTTGTGCGTTATGAAATATGTGCACGATCCCTAAGGCTGGTACCACATAAAACATGCATCACGTGTATAAGATAACGCTGTCCCTCTTGAGCGGCTCCTTATAGCCGATAAATCCCTTCTCGCTGGTGTCTTTAGCCAGGGTGACGGTCGGGCTGGTGAAGTCTGCACTCCCCGTCCTGCTGCCACACAGCCTCAGTAGTGCACACTCCGCCCCGGACCCCACGGGCTTTTCTGCTAGGATGTACTGGTAAAACAACGCCCCGAGGGAGCCTCCGACTGTTGGGGCAACCCAATATAGCTGGAAGGAAAGAGTTTGCTTTAGTATAGAGAAAAAGAATACGGGCGTTTGTTTGTCATAACATGTAGAAACTTGTTGCAGTGTTTCTTTCAGACTTTTTTTTCTCCGAGGGGGGGGGGCACTTGAAATTTTTTTTTGGGGGGGAGGGGGGCGGACTAAAATTTCCGGGGGGGTGGAAACTGGTAAAAGTATATATTTTCTATATAAATTCTATTTCGTTCGGGGAGGGGGGGGGCGGAGCCCTCCCGAAGTGATGCCTGGAAGAAACACTGACTTAGTGTATTAGGGAGGGTCCACGAAAACAGACGAGATTACAACGGATGGAACAATTCAAGTGGAGGGGAACAAACCTTTACAACAAAGCACTTTTTTTTACAGTTGGCTTAGTTCTTCAAACAAAGATCGTTAAAATAAATCAGGTTCATGCTGTCTTGAAATTAACTAGGGTCTAGTTGTCTTCAAATAGCCCAGGGTCTAGCTGTCTTGAAATTAACTAGGGTCTAGTTGTCTTCAAATAAAACATGGTCTGTCTTCAAATAAATCAGGGTCTAGCTGTCTTCAAATAGACCAGGGTCAAGCTGTCTTGAAATTAACTAAGGTCTAGTTGTCTTCAAATAGCCCAGGGTCTAGTTGTCTTCAAATAGCCTAGGGTCTAGCTGTCTTCAAATAAATCAGTGTCTAGCTTTCTTCAAATAGCCCTGGGTCTCGCTGTCTTCAAATAAACCAGGGTTACACTTTATGTCTAAACAGCCCAAGATCCCCGTGTATTGTTAATACCCGACTCACAAGATGCCCGTGTACAGACAATACCCGACTCACAAGATGCCCGTGTACAGACAATACTCGACTCACAAGATCCCCGTGTACAGACAATACTCGACTCACAAGATCCCCGTGTACAGACAATACCCGACTCACAAGATGCCCGTGTACAGACAATACTCGACTCACAAGATCCCCGTGTACAGACAATACTCGACTCACAAGATCCCCGTGTGCAGACAATACTCGACTCACAAGATCCCCGTGTACAGACAATACTCGACTCACAAGATCCCCGTGTACAGACAATACTTGACTCACAAGATCCCCGTGTACAGACAATACTCGACTCACAAGATCCCCGTGTACAGACAATACTTGACTCACAAGATCCCCGTGTACAGACAATACTCGACTCACAAGTTCCCCGTGTACAGACAATACTTGACTCACAAGATCCCCGTGTACAGACAATACTCGACTCACAAGATTCACGTGTACAGACAATACTCGACTCACAAGTTCCCCGTGTACAGACAATACTTGACTCACAAGATCCCCGTGTACAGACAATACTCGACTCACAAGATCCCCGTGTACAGACAATACTCGACTCACAAGATGCCCGTGTACTGAATATATTCGACTCACAAGATCCCCGTGTACTGAATATACTCGACTCACAAGATCCACGTGTACTGAATATATTCGACTCACAAGATGCCCGTGTACTGAATATACTCGACTCACAAGATCCCCGTGTACAGACAATACTCGACTCACAAGATCCCCGTGTACTGAATATAATCGACTCCCAAGATCCCCGTGTACAGGCAATATTCGACTCACAAGATCCCCGTGTACTGAATATAATCGACTCCCAAGATCCCCGTGTACAGGCAATATTCGACTCACAAGATCCCCGTGTACTGAATATATTCGACTCACAAGATCCCCGTGTACTGAATATATTCGACTCACAAGATCCCCGTGTACAGGCAATATTCGACTCACAAGATCCCCGTGTACTGAATATATTCGACTCACAAGATCCCCGTGTACTGAATATATTCGACTCACAAGATCCCCGTGTACTGAATATATTCGACTCACAAGATCCCCGTGTACTGAATATATTCGACTCACAAGATCCCCGTGTACTGAATATATTCGACTCACAAGATCCCCGTGTACTGAATATATTGGACTCACAAGATCCCCGTGTACTGAATATATTCGACTCACAAGATCCCCGTGTACTGAATATACTCGACTCACAAGATCCCCGTGTACAGACAATACTCGACTCACAAGATCACAGTGTACAGACAATACTCGACTCACAAGATCACAGTGTACAGACAATACTCGACTCACAAGATCCCCGTGTACAGACAATACTCGACTCACAAGATCCCCGTGTACAGACAATACTCGACTCACAAGATCCCCGTGTACAGACAATACTTGACTCACAAGATCTCCGTGTACAGACAATACTTGACTCACAAGATCCCCGTGTACAGACAATACTCGACTCACAAGATCCCCGTGTACAGACAATACTCGACTCACAAGATCCCCGTGTACAGACAATACTCGACTCACAAGATCCACGTGTACAGACAATACTCGACTCACAAGATCCCCGTGTACAGACAATACTCGACTCACAAGATCCCCGTGTACAGACAATACTTGACTCACAAGATCCCCGTGTACAGACAATACTCGACTCACAAGATCCCCGTGTACAGACAATACTCGACTCACAAGATCCCCGTGTACAGACAATACTCGACTCACAAGATCCCCGTGTACAGACAATACTCGACTCACAAGATGCCCGTGTACTAAATATATTCGACTCACAAGATCCCCGTGTACTGAATATACTCGACTCACAAGATCCACGCAGTGTTTCTTCCAGACTTTTTTCTCCGGGGGGGCACTTGAAATCTTCGGGGGGGCGGTAAACTTTCTTCGGGGGGGCGGACACTGTTAAAAGTATATATTTTCTATATAAATTATATAAATTTCATTTCGTTCGGGGGGGCGGTAAAAATTTTTCGGGGGGGCTTCGCCCCCCCGAAGAGATGCCTGGAAGAAACTCTGGATCCACGTGTACTGAATATATTCGACTCACAAGATGCCCGTGTACTGAATATACTCGACTCACAAGATCCCCGTGTACAGACAATACTCGACTCACAAGATCCCCGTGTACTGAATATAATCGACTCCCAAGATCCCCGTGTACAGGCAATATTCGACTCACAAGATCCCCGTGTACTGAATATAATCGACTCCCAAGATCCCCGTGTACAGGCAATATTCGACTCACAAGATCCCCGTGTACTGAATATATTCGACTCACAAGATCCCCGTGTACTGAATATATTCGACTCACAAGATCCCCGTGTACAGGCAATATTCGACTCACAAGATCCCCGTGTACTGAATATATTCGACTCACAAGATCCCCGTGTACTGAATATATTCGACTCACAAGATCCCCGTGTACAGGCAATATTCGACTCACAAGATCCCCGTGTACTGAATATATTCGACTCACAAGATCCCCGTGTACTGAATATATTCGACTCACAAGATCCCCGTGTACTGAATATATTCGACTCACAAGATCCCCGTGTACAGGCAATATTCGACTCACAAGATCCCCGTGTACAGGCAATATTCGACTCACAAGATCCCCGTGTACTGAATATATTCGACTCACAAGATCCCCGTGTACTGAATATATTCGACTCACAAGATCCCCGTGTACAGGCAATATTCGACTCACAAGATCCCCGTGTACTGAATATATTCGACTCACAAGATCCCCGTGTACTGAATATATTCGACTCACAAGATCCCCGTGTACTGAATATATTCGACTCACAAGATCCCCGTGTACAGGCAATATTCGACTCACAAGATCCCCGTGTACTGAATATATTCGACTCACAAGATCCCCGTGTACTGAATATATTCGACTCACAAGATCCCCGTGTACTGAATATATTCGACTCACAAGATCCCCGTGTACTGAATATATTCGACTCACAAGATCCCCGTGTACTGAATATATTCGACTCACAAGATCCCCGTGTACTGAATATATTCGACTCACAAGATCCCCGTGTACAGGCAATATTCGACTCACAAGATCCCCGTGTACTGAATATATTCGACTCACAAGATCCCCGTGTACTGAATATATTCGACTCACAAGATCCCCGTGTACAGGCAATATTCGACTCACAAGATCCCCGTGTACTGAATATATTCGACTCACAAGATCCCCGTGTACTGAATATATTCGACTCACAAGATCCCCGTGTACAGGCAATATTCGACTCACAAGATCCCCGTGTACTGAATATATTCGACTCACAAGATCCCCGTGTACTGAATATATTCGACTCACAAGATCCCCGTGTACAGGCAATATTCGACTCACAAGATCCCCGTGTACTGAATATATTCGACTCACAAGATCCCCGTGTACTGAATATATTCGACTCACAAGATCCCCGTGTACTGAATATATTCGACTCACAAGATCCCCGTGTACTGAATATATTCGACTCACAAGATCCCCGTGTACTGAATATATTCGACTCACAAGATCCCCGTGTACTGAATATATTCGACTCACAAGATCCCCGTGTACTGAATATATTCGACTCACAAGATCCCCGTGTACTGAATATATTCGACTCACAAGATCCCCGTGTACTGAATATATTCGACTCACAAGATCCCCGTGTACTGAATATATTCGACTCACAAGATCCCCGTGTACTGAATATATTCGACTCACAAGATCCCCGTGTACAGGCAATATTCGACTCACAAGATCCCCGTGTACTGAATATATTCGACTCACAAGATCCCCGTGTACTGAATATATTCGACTCACAAGATCCCCGTGTACTGAATATATTCGACTCACAAGATCCCCGTGTACTGAATATATTCGACTCACAAGATCCCCGTGTACTGAATATATTCGACGCCCAATATCCCCGTGTACTGAATATATTCGACTCACCCAGTGATGGTCCCACACGTCAGCAACAACAGCAGGTCCCAGGGTCCTGATGGGGTTCATACTACAGCCTGTAGGCCGGCCCTTGGATTGAAAATTTAGAGCTTAGAGTGTTCTTTCAGACAAGAGGTGTGGGGGGCGGGTGTCTTGAAACTTTCATGGTGGTGGGGGGGGGGGGGGGGGGTTAAAACTTAATGGGTGTGGCAATATGGATTAAGTCTATATATATTTTATATGAATTATGAATTTTTCTTTGTCCCGGGGGGGGGGGGGACGTGCAGATGCCTAAAAGATACGTTATTTGGATCTTATTGTAGGCCGACCCAACGGATACAAATTCAGAATAAAATTTAATTGGGTTCATACAGTAAACTATGAATAAAGCAAATCGTTTTGTTTTTTTTTACTTAATGCCTGGTGTATTATAGTTGTTTTTTTTTAAACTGCAAGGTATATAACATTAAAATGTTCTTCTATTTAAAATAAATTAGCTGTTGCGATATAAAGGGAAAATAAAAATACTGACTTCAATACGAGATTTAAATTTTAGTGTTAATAAATAAATGAATATAAAAGTAAAATAAAAATCAGCAGTATAAAACGTGGTAGGGGCAGCTACTCCATCTGTAAATTGTGTTCGCTGGATAAAGACAATAATTAAAATTTAAAAGCTTTAGTTTGATACAAGGGGAGTAACTTAGTCAACATAAAGAAGTTAAAAGAGTTTATAGATGGGAGAGTTAATATGGGAAGTAACTCACGGCCCAGGCGCTCTGCATGAACACGATAAGCCCTACAGTCAGGGGCATAGAACCCCCGTGGTCGGTCCTGTTCTGGTCGCTGCTAGCGAACACCCCCAACACCAGAATGAAGGTAGCAATCAGTTCAATGGCAAAACCCTGAAACAGGAATTGTGTATGGATTTATTGAATTTGTTAACTAGCAGTTATTGTTATCAAGACATGGATTGATATTTTAATGTTTTTATAAACTTATTAAACAAAAAGGTACTTAACGCTGAAAAAAATTATGCTAATCCTATTTTAAGTTAAAATTTAACTCATATTCAGATAGTATTGCACAATATTAGTCTCAAATTAACATATGAAAAAATAGGTGCTTGGCCCGACTCAAGTATAGAGAGCCTAGTCCCAATCTTCTCTTCAACGGGTCCATAGCCCCTACTCACATGGTGAACAATCCTCTAGCCCCAATCTTCTCTTTAACTGGTCCAATGACCCGACTTAACTGTTGAATAAGCCCCCATCCCCAATCTACTATTCGACAAGTCCATAGCCCCTACTCACATGTTGAACAGTTCCCTAGCCCCAATCTTCTATTCAACTGGTCCATAGCCCCTACTCACATGTTGAACAGTCCCCTAGCCCCAATCTTTTATTCAACGGGTCCATAACTCACCTGTCCAACAGTTAGGCCTTCAGCGAACACAGTGCTCCCCATCTGTCCCCTCCACTTCTCAGGCACCATGTACCACACTATGGCACACCCAGCTATAGAGCCAGCACACTGTACTAGCACGAATGCAATGCTCTGCACATACAAGACAAATACGATATAATTATTTTTGTTCTAAAACGAAACTTATTGCTCAAAACTTAATCATGCAAGAAACATGCTATGTCTATATTTGCATAAAATGTCATAAAAATGGTATTTTAAATGTAAAAAAAACCAACTCGTTTAGCAAATAAAAGCGGCGGCTGGGCAAAGTGCTGACCACACCTTACCTTTATATTATTATGCCGAGGTCAAGAAACTTCATCAGCCCAATGGATAGC